TACGGATATAAACTCCTTATCCACTGAGTTTAATTCCCATATCATATTTTTAATTAAAAAAGAAACAGGGTTTTTGGTTTAAAAACACTTTAACGGTTTAAATCACGAACTGTACAGGTTAAGCTTATTTTTTTAAACTACGACCTAACGTGCTTTGCCGCATATGGCTTATGTGATGTTACTCGGGTCAGATTAGTTTAACTATTATATTTCGTGTTTAAAACGGTTAACAGTGTTTTACATAACGGTATACTCACTTGATAATAGACAATACACGTTTAAGTTATAAATAAACCTTTAAGTAAAGGAGTAACATTATTGTATTTTATGATTATAGTATTTTTTAAGTGTTTTTAATTTTAGATCGGCATGTTTTGGGAATTTCTGAACGTTTTGATAACAAATCGTCGAAGCAAGAAACGTGATTGGATTCCTTAAATATGAACCGAAAAATGTTTTACGTTTAGAATATTAAACGTAATGATTTGTCAAATAATATAAAAGCCACTTTTCGTACTCAACGGCATTAAAGGAGAGTAATGTTTTATGTTTGTACAAGACAAAAAGACTGAATTTAAAAAAATACTTTAACAGTTTGAAACGCGTTATATTAGTTGAACTTATTTAAAAATTATTCGGTTGTTGTATTATTATGCGTCGTGATCCAAATGGAATTTCGATATTTCGACCACCCATTTGTCTCTTTATAGTAAAATACTGGCTGTAGTGCACGCGAGTAGTAGTGCATTTAAATAAAATACTTTAACGGTTTAAATCGCGATTCATATATTAGTTAACCTTATTTGAAAATTATTTTAACTAAGGCTCGACGTTTCGTATGCTTTGCAGCGTGGTCACGGAGTGACACCCTCCATCTATCGGGCTGTAGTGAAAGTAATTTATAAATAAGTTTAACTAATATAAATCGAGTTGTAAACCGTTATAGTGTTTTATTTTTATGTGTACTACTCGCGTAAACTACAGATAGTACTGAATTTTTTGTATTAATGTCAGATGTTTTGTATGAGATCCAGTTTCTTCTTCCTTTCCATCTTTTATATAATATAGTCTGTGACCATCAAGTATATAATACAACACTTTTAACGGTTCAAAACGCGATATATGTTAGTTAACTTATTTTGCGAGCCTTTCTAAAGCTTTACAAGCCGTGTTTATGCGTTTTAATCTAAAAAATGTTTTAATTAAACTATTGTATTTATCACCGCATTATGTAATATTTCAGTATTTAAAATCTACCCACAATTCAACTTAATTTAAAGCTCTACGGGTATAAATTATTCAAAGAATTAAACCCTAAGGATAGAAGCAATTATTAATGACTTAAAGGTCCACACCACCCACAATCGCGTTACTAGTTATTAAGAGGTGAATACACGACTCTGCGGTCTTGGTCTTCTAAACTAACATTGAATAATTTGTTTAGTTATTGTTTCGACCCACCGCACGCTCGGGATAGGTAGATTTAATATATTAGACTAATATTGAAATGTTGCTAGTATGAACAGGAACGGATGGACGCTCCTTTATCAAGCAAAATCGGTGAAGCAGATTTTGATGAAGTCAGAACATGTAATCACGTGACTACGTCGAGCCGTAGTAAAATTAAATTAACATATATATTTTACGTTCTTAACCGTTAAACGAGTTTTATTTATAAGGCAGCACGAATCTTCTTTTATATTTTCATGAGGTCTACACGTTCGACGTAATTTTTAAATTTCGAAAGCTAACGTCACGTGTAAAAGACTACACAAGTTGTCGTGAACAAAACTTATAATACGGTAATGTATGTATAGTGTGAATATCGCATTAATTGCATTAAAATAAATTTTAAATGCACGATAATGTTATTAAAATATTTCCGAATAATTTTGCCAAGAATAGCTAAGCCAAGCCGACTATTTCACGCAATAATTTCCTTATTTAACATTCTGAGCACGTTTTAAAGCTAAAGAAAATTTTGATCGACCGGAAGGAGTTTTCTGTAATCATAATTGATTTTTATACGCTTTATTTTTGGTTTCACTTGAAGATCAAAGAAAAAGTGAAAATATCGCTTTATACAAATGTACTTAAATAAATTCGATCCGAGAAATGGGCAGCTAAATTCGTACTTTACCCACGGAATAGTACAAAATGAATACTGCAATTTTTCGTAGGTTTTATGTAAATAAGATTTTTTTTTTGCTTTGGCATTCAGAAATCCACAGACTGAAACGGAAAGGATTAAACTTCACGGATTTTTCGTCTTTGAACAGTAACCCGTGTATCTTAACATCCAGTTTAGCAATAACACCAACGAGCTTGTAATTTAAAAAAAGAAGTCCCTTCGTAATTTATCTTTTTTTTAACAAATATTATAACATCACAACTTTTTTACATACATGAAGTAAGCTTTTATTAATTTCGTATGTAAAAACATTGACCTAGAATTTAGTCCCATTGTATGTACACATAATCATATTTCTTCTGTAATACTTCGTGAGAAATTGTTATCACTGTCATATTACGAATAAAGTATTATTCGAACGACAAAAACTTTTCCAATAAGTTGGAAGGTGGTATGTACTTGTGCCTTCTCTGATTTCATAGAAATCACAAGAAAATGAATTTTCCCAGTAAATTTCTTATAGGAAGAGACAGATGAGAAATAATAATTATAATCCCTACTAATATTATAAATGCGAAAATAACTCTATCTTTCTGTCTATCTGTCTGTCTGTTACTCTTTCACGCCAAAACTACTGTACGGATTTGAATGAAATTTGGTATACAGATGTCTAGACCCTGAGAAAGGACATAGGCGTTACTTTTTATTGCGAAAAGCGGGTTGTAATTGTTTAAAAGGGGGATGAAAGTTTGTATGGAAATTCGTGTTTTTTGAAGCTAGAACAAAACTGAAACTTTCTTTTTTGACTTTTTGGGTATAGGAGTGGGAGTAGGGGTGGGCTGGGCGTAGGCGTAGGCGTGGGGGTGATAGTGGGAGTGAGTGTAGGAATGAGAGTGGAGTAGAGAGGAGTGATGTGAGGTGAGAGTATTGCAGCAAAGTAGCATTTACCATAGATTGGCTGCCTTAAATGCCTTCATACATTAATAAATAGCCTCAATAATTAAAAATTCTACCCTGAGTCACTATTCCACGCGGACGAAGTCACGGGCACAGCTAGTGGTCATATAATATATAACTGTAAACACAATGAGTTTGAAGGGCTCGTTGGTGTAATAGTGGTAATGTACGGCTAAAAATCAACGGGTCGTGGGTCCGATCCTCACCAGGTCCAATATGTTTATATTTTTTCTGAAACAGGTCTGGAAATCAATATATAAAGTGGGTGAAATTCAAAAAACCTTATTCCCCTTTGGGTTTTTCCCCGGGGGGATTCCCAAAAACCCCAAAACCAAAAAATGGCCGGGGGAGAAAACATTTGGTTCCCCCCCAAGGGGCCCCCCCCCCCCCCCCACCCCCCCCCCCCCCCCCCCCCCCCCGCCCAGAGGGTGTTTTTCCCCCCCCCCCCCCCCCCCCCCCCCCCCCCCTTTTTTTTTTGGGAAAAAAAACACCCCCCCCCCCCCCCCCCCCCCCCCCGGGGGGGGGCCCCCCCCCCCCCCCCCCCCCCCCCCGGGGCCCCTTTTTTTTTCTTCCCCCCCCCCCCCCCCCCCCCCGGGGGGGGGGTTTTTTTTTTTTTTTTTTTTTTTTTGTGTGGGGGGGGGGGAGATCCCCCCCCTTTTTTTCCCCCCCCCCCCCCCCCTTTTATTTTTTTTTTTTTTTTTTTTTTTTTTTTTTTTGGGGGGGGGGGGGGGTTTTTTTTTTTTTTTTTTTTTTTTTTTTTTTTTTTTTGGGGGGGGGGGGGGGGCGTCCGGCCAAACAAATGAAAATATGAGCCGTGATCTAGAATAGTAAGAAGAAAATTAATATATTTCCCCTTTTTCACCTTTTAAACATTTTTTTTTTTTAAAGGTGTCCCCCCCCCCAACCCCCCCCTCCCCCCCCCCTTTTTTTTTTTTCCTTTCCCCCCCCCCCCCTTTTTTTTTTTTTTGATAGTCAAGGATGGGACATCTGACTATAAATACATATAACTGCAAAAACTCCTTTAAAAATATTTTAGTCGTAAATTAAAGCCAAAGGTAAGTTTTGTATAACAGCCGTGTTGTTATATTTATTCTACGCACAAAGCTTACAAAATTGGCCTACCTCAAACAATGGTTTCTTATCTTAATTAAGTTTCCGAGCGCTTTTTTTACGCGACAATATAGATTAAATCACCATAAATGTTACGGGAGTGTTTGATGTAGGCCGTAATATTACGTCATTTTACGTTTCACTGGGTTATGTCATTAATTTTGCTAGGTTTTTACGACCTGTTGCCTTAAACATAGGTGCACAATTTATTATTATATTTATTGGCAAGAGATGGCGTTAGTGTAAGTGTAATTCGGATTTTTGTTAAGACAATATTTTATTTAACTTTAAAATTATCTAGTCCAGTAATTTTTATCAATTGTACACACAAATTGAAATACCCTTGTGTACCCTACTACTACTATTTTCAATTATTTTTTTTAAGCATCATGTATTATTACAATTTGATAGCTATTTCACGCACGCTCCTTTCGTGAAAAACAAAACAGAGAGATATATATTTCTATATGTTAGAGGAAGATAGACGAGTCACAAGCATGGGGATCACTTTATTATAGGTGAAATGAGCCAGTCATATAACATCTTGAGAAGATGCGATGTCAACCTATTTTCGGATATTCGGAAATCTACAGACTGAAACTGAAACGCGATTCAACATCACAGCTTTTTCATTGGTTGGATGGTGTTTTGTGACCCGGACATAATTTCCATAATCCAGGGTGGTAACCATACCTACCCTACTTCAATACTTTATACCACCCAATCCTAATATCTAGATTTACGAAGAAATCCAACAGTCTCAGAAAAATTATAAATTTACTGATAATTCTTGTTCTAGATCATGGAGCCAGATCTATTTGAAGAAATGGAGGGGACGACCAGCAGATCCTTGGCCACGACACTCTACCCTGGCCATAGCAATCTCACAATTAATAATACGGATTTGAACATGTATTATTTTTATGATGTAAGTATCCTAATTGTATGAATACTAAAGTTTTTGTGCATATTATGCAAACTCTTTTTGCACAGTTTTTTTATCTGACACTTGCGAATTGGCCAGCGTAGAATAATTATTTTGAGCATCATATTTTTTCTTCCAAAGAACCTCTACAGCTTTATAAATTATAGAGTTACGAGTTAGTCTTAAAAGATAGACATGTAGTGCCCTGTGCATTTTATTAGATAATTTTAAGAGAAATGATTCCTTCATAAATATTTTTTGCGTATCTTGAATCGTTTTTGTAGCATATGCAACGGAAACCCACAAAGATAAATAATTTTCCCCGTGTTTTACACATTTCCCTCTATTTACTGCTCCTATTGTTCCGCCTTATATTTAATAGCCTAAATCCTTTATCGATATATGATAGATTTGACATATAAATAATTTTTCAATTGGAAATAGTACTTCCGGAGATTAACGCGTTCAAAGAAATACACTCTTTAGCCTTATAATATATAAATAAATAAATATTGCAGTTACTTATTAAATGAATTTATTCATAGAGGATTTCGCCTACGCGTCGTGATAAGCATTATAACAGGTAATCGTATAATGGACAGTAGCCGCGCTATCATCACGTACAGATAAGAAGTTATGGTTAGCATTGTCAACGGATTTGATACTTTATATTTCAAGCTTCGAGAAGAATTGAAAAAAACCAAACTCTCATACGTTATTTGAGGCAATATGAGCCGTATTTAATTACAAAAATACTAGAGGATATTAAAAAAAATAGCTTTTTATATGGCTTCTCAAGACGCTTAAAAATAACATAATAATAATTCGCTACTTTCTTTTAAATAATAAAAGAAATCTACCCCTACTACTATGTGTATGCAAAGTAAGTCGTATTTTCAAAACTTTATTAATAATCTCCAAATTATGAATAAAGCGATTAGCTAACGCGAGTAATACAGATCTAATTAAAACTTTTTTAACGGTTTAAAATGCAAGCTATATTTATAATGTCGTAATGACACTAGAGTAAGTGACTATGTATGGCCACTACAACGTATCCGCAACGTAGGGTTGTAGTTGCAAATAAATTAACTATTATATTACGCTGATTGAACAATTAAAAGAGTTTTATTCTATTAAAAATATGAATTTAAAAGGCAGCAAGTTTGTTTGGTTGTAAATATAAATTATTTTTATTAGGCAGTTCCCGAGTGGGAAATAAAGAGAGTGACGTTTTTGACATTTTAACATTTTTGATAATTGACTACACAGGTTTCTCTTACACCAATTAATATTTAAAAAAATAAGTTTTCAACAGCCCCCAAATTAATTTTAAAGCTTATGTATAGATTATATTTAAAAGGTCACATAATATATAAAGGTTGCATAATTTAGTTTTTTTTTACAATAATTTGTTATACTAAGGTAACAAACTTGACTTAACAGAATGTGCCAACAATATTACGTTTGACAAAAAACAACTTGTTTCGATGTTCGGTAAACAGATACACAACAAAAACTTTATCCCAACCTCGCCACATATTTCAGAGTTGCAAACATCAAACGAAATCAACTGCAACTACAACAATGGTGTGATGGATCGCTTCCTCCACAACTCCAGTCTGGGATCACACACGCGTGGTCAAACACAATAACAATCACATTAGCCGTTGGCACGAACTCAGTTTTTCACGCTTTGACCCGTCAAAGCCGAAATTTATTGTACGGATGTTATAACATCATAAAGAGATTTTTTCCTAGTTCTCTCTCATTGCTTTGGCAATTTTCTTGGCGAAGAGCATGTATGTTAAGAAAATGTAGATTTAAACGAACGGCAGTTTTCATCAGTACCAAACACGTAATAAGAATACATAAGCGTATCAAGAAGAAGCTTCCATAAAAATAGAATTGGCGATAAAAGGAGTGGCGGCGAGTTCCTTGACAGGTCTTCTCGTTCGTTGTACGCCCTTGATTTGAGAACTGTTAGTAAACGTTTAGAGTCTTTAGTTTTTAACTGGTGTGACGTTCATAAGCATACATAGTTACCTAAGTGAATAATTGATTTTGATTGACTTTCGACTTCTATATTAATATTTCAAGGGGTACAGGCTAGTATGTTGATGGTAGATGTTTGGATCGCGAGGAACGGATTGTACGTTAGATGGATGTATAAGATAACTAACGGCCCTAGATCACTAACAAACCGACCTCATATTTAAATTTAACTGATATAATATATGCTCACATCGTCTTATACTATATTGTTGTATAATATACATTAAAAAGCAATAAAAATATTAGACTTATAATATACATCTCAGGAAACAGCTGGTCTAAAAATCAAACAAAGTCATATGTAGCTTACATATATGTAACTGATGTTTACATATATCCAAAGCCAAAAAAGGCCGAAAGCCCATAATTTTTTTTAAATTTTTTTTGGCTTTTTTCCATGCTCAAATGAACCTCAAGCTCGCTTGTCCTCCTCTGTAATACAAAAAGCATATATATGTATATATCTTCTGTGTGATTATAAATCAATCGACAGGCATACATTTAAGAACATATACTAAACTTCTTCGTTACGTAGCTATGACTAAAAATTATCCCTCAAGAAATAAGCGGAATGTGCGGTATTTACATTGCTATTTTTAATGCGACATTCAATAAAGTTTATCGACCTCCAAATGTGTGTCAGTAGTTTTATTTTCGCACGGCTAATTTAGTGATCTCGTTATTTATTCTTGTACATTATCGCGTCACTCTTAATTTGTAATCCGGAACAGAATTTCGCTATCTGCGCGACATTTTGCTAGGAAGAACGAATATAAGGAAACACCTTTGAATAACATTTTGTATTTAAATAAAACACTTTAACGGTTTAAAACTAGATATATATTAGTTAGACTTATTTGAAAACTATTTTAACCACAGTCCGACGTTTGGGACGTAGTCTCACTACACGGCTACTCAAAGCATCCGAAAACATCGGGCCGTAGTGAAAATAATTTCCAAATAAGTCTAACTAATATATATCGCATTTTAAACCGTTAAAGTTTTTTTAAATATGTACTACTCGCGTAAACTACAGACTACTCAACGTTTAGTATTTATCAAAATAAAAAAAAACAATTAATTTTCAAAGGTAATTAAAAAGTAACATGACTCTAGCCTTTAATATAATATTTGAACTTTAAAATTTGCCTGAATAACATCAGGAATTTTCTATTTACGGTTTATTCGGGTTCTTGGTGTAATGGTAGCAATGAATGACTAATCAACGGTTGTTGGTTCGTTTATATTTTCCTTAAATATGTTGGACTTCCCTCTGGGAACCTGTATAAATGGGTGGTAAGAATATCGAAATTCCATCCAGGTCACAACCACCGTCACATAAACGAAAGGCCGTGTAGTGTAATCGCGTTTCAGTTTAGTCTGTTATTTCCGAACATCCAAAGCCAAAACAGGTTGACAAAGACAAGACAAGATGTGCTTGTGTTCTTATATTCCAAGGACTTTGTTTCCAGCTTTAACAGCCTTAAAAATATAATATTTCTTTTGCAGTCGATACAGTTTCCGGTGATGTGGGTGCTGTTCGTGCTGATCGTGCTGCTAAATGCATCAGTCATAGCAGCGTTGCTCTGCACTAACGCTAGAAAAAGTAGAATGAACTTCTTCATCATGCAATTAGCTATAGCAGGTAATTGATATTTGTTTTTTGTTTATTTTTAGGATATGTAATGTTATTGTCACCCCGTTGTAAGACTGTTATTAATTAATCTTCTACTATAATAAAAAAAACATATAATGTAAAAATCAAAAATAAATTGAAAAAAAATTTTTCGTCACGGGCAGGACTTGAACCTGCATCGGCATTTTTAAATTATATAGTGCCTTCGTGTGCCACATGTAAAAAACTAATAAAGTGTAAAAAAAAACATATAATTGTTCTCCATTTCGCTTTCTGTCCATGTGTTTGAAATATCAGATGCACTTTGTGGGACATAAAAACGGAGACATTTAAGTGTCCTATTCTATTTCCTCCCAATCGATTTTGTTTACAGACAAGTATAGACCACTCAATCGAAACTATTCCTCCCGAGATTCGAACCCAGGGCCAAAAACGGGGCAAAGATAAATACAAAAGTACTTGTCGTTAATATTTTATATCATTAATAAACTTAAAGTTAATACAAATGCAGACTTTTTTGTTTTTGTAAAATTATACCTGATAGATTTTTATGAAGGCAATGCCATTACAATTATAACCTATACATGAGAAAATGAGATATAATAATTTCAGGCTACAATTATAGCCTAACCTTTCCCAAGCATCAACTGACATTATAAATATGAGTCTTAACCCTGCCGACTAAAATTGTCCCTTCACCCCAATTAAATTACGGGCAAAAACCTTTATAATATTTCACTTTATGTAACCCTGTATTCTGTAATTAGACTATTCTTAAATTGCCATTTAAAGTTTTATGTCTTCAATCTTTCAGTTTTTCATGAGGCATTTAGTAGACATTCCTCTGATAAATGCACTTAGCTCCACAAACAATATTTCAGATCTGAAGCTCAGAATTTTTCGTAGAAAACTGCTCCCCAGTGTGAAGTGAATATATTTTATTATCAAGTTACGCTTTCGCCTGTCTAGCGCTATGTCTAATTAATTTAAAAAAGATATATGAATGAAATATTCTCAACTAAAAATAAAATAGAGTATACGTTATTCTCTTTAAAAAAAATATTTAGATTCGTCAAACAATTTTTTTCGTTTGTCTGTCTGTTCGTCGTGATTCTACAGAGTCCTTAAAAGAGCAACATAACTGAGAAAAACACCCAAGAAACTCAGTCCGGCTTTTTTAAATATGTCTCATAAACTAATACATTATTGTAAATTTATTAACCTAAGGAGCAATTCATATTAATGCCAGGCGGTCTTCTCATTAAAGAAATCGCAGATAATAATACGCCTTTTGAGACAATCTAAATTTTATAACCTTTCTTAAATTTATGTATCGACAAAATAAATAGCCAATTATACAAGAATACAATTCCGCAAATAATAAGATATTTTATGGAGCCTATATTTGGGGATAGCTAGTTTACCTTTTCTTAAATGATGCCTATCTCTATTCTTGCTAAACTGGCATCTTTAGGCAACAATACATTTTCAAATAAAACACTTTAACGAGATGGCGCTAGCGTAGCAATTTTTTACTTTGACGTCAGAGACATCATCCACCTTTAGTCTCCCCGTGACCACGGCTGCTGCAAAGCATCCGAAACGTCGGGCCGAAGTTAAAAATCATTTTCAAATAAGTTTAACTAATATATCGAGTTTTAACCGTTAAAATGTTTTATTTAAGAATAATGACCGACGAATTTGCCTATTCGCTAGTCAATAATTTGAATAATGTAGTTAGTGAGAAATTTGATTTCAAAGCTTTCAAAACGCGCTGAAGATTTTCTATGAAATTGAATTTTAAAAAGTTTAAAAGCAAGAACAAATAGCTATTAGCTTAAAAACTTCTTGCGATATTCGATGAAGTAGAAAAATAATAATTTCTATTAGTACTTTTAAATTAATACAGATAACTTTTAATAATTGATTGAAACACTTTTCAAGTTAAAGCAAGCTTACACATCTGTTTAATAAAAAATCTTGATACTATACTAGAACATATAATGTAATTGATATTTTTAGGACCGCAATATTTTGTATTTATAGACTACAACTTAAATATACTATTCAATAAAACAACAACTAGTTTTTGCACAAAAATATAACAAGCGTTCATCCATCTTCATAAATCAAATTAATAATAGAATAAAATATCAGGCTCGTTAATGAGATGGTAGCAACGTACTAACAATCAACAGATCGTGAGTTCTAGAGATCTCCACCGAGTCTAATATAGATCTCTAAACAATTAAATTTTTTTTAAACATTCGTCTGGATATTAAATAGCTTACCACTATTAAGACGGAAAAACAATGTTAAACTATATATAATAAATATTCATTTATTAGCCAAAATTAGGCTTAGCCGACCAAATGCGCGGCAACGTTCGTATTTGACAGTACCTCAGCTAGTGCGGGGGCGCGCGCGGTTATCGCGTCGCACTAGTGTTGTGTCCTCCCTGCTAAGTCGGAGGATTAAATTTATATCAGTACGAATATCAATATTCCATCCGACTCACGATCTTATCCGACTGATTATGGTTCATCATTCAGTTCTTAATTTCATTAACTATAAAAACTATAAATAAAGCATAATTTAATCATCAACATATATACGATTAGATATAAAACGGCTTAACAAATTTTAATTAAATTGATGCCTTATAAACTCAACTCGCACTCTTATAACCCCTAAATACTAAAATTCTAATGATTTCGAAATATTTTGGAGTATTGAACTAGATTATCCGATTCATTTTCAGTCTTTGCGGAAATATTAAAAAATACACCGAACGGCAATTCCTGAAACAAAATAGTTAAACCTGAATGCTGAAGCTTTCATCACGCCGATACATCCATCATCGGAATCCCTTCTGTTACTGTACGTGTTCGTACTACGGAAGCACAAAATAACTCAAGCGATTATCGGCTTTGTTACTCTGCTAACTGTACATTATTAAAGTTGTTTATCATGTAACAGGGAGACAGTTTAAGACGCTCTTTGTGTCATCTGAGATTTTTTAAATTCAAACTATAACTTCGTTCGTTATATAGAAGAGAAAAGCGTTTGTGTATTTTTAAATTCACTATTTTATATTTTATGTAAGGTTTTGGAAATGTACGTTTATTAAGTACTGTTAGTAGTGTACATAAGCAGTATACATTAAATAAAACACTTATAACGGCTTAAAAGGCGAATAAATTTTATAATTAAGTATTGTCTGTAGTTTACGCGAGTGTACATATTTAAGTAAAACTTTGAACGCTTTAAAATGCGAAATGTATAAGTTCAATAACTTATTAACAATTTATTTTAATAGCCGGACGCTTCAGAGGCTTTACACCAGACGTGGTCACGGGGGGATAGGTTAACTAATACATTTCGCGTCTTTAACCTTTGAAACGTTTTTTTCTTAAAATTACTTATTATTAAAAAAAATTAAAATAAATTTAAAAACATTTTCGACTCGGGCAGGACTCGAACCGGCATCGTCAGCGCTCCCTGGTGTTTTTCTCCCCAACCGGGCCCCCGGGGGGAAAAAACACCCCCCGCCCCCCCCCCGGGAGATGCCGTCATCCTGCCGTCGAAATTTTTTCAATTTTTTTCGATTTTTAAATTGTATAGTGCCTTCTATATGTCAAAAATAATGAAGTTTTCTAACATTAACTATTATGTTTACATTTCCGCATTTTCATAATAACAAACACGTTTTCCACGAATCTCTAACTCCTCTGCAGCTTTCAGATTCGTGAATCAGAATATTTTTATATCCTCAACCTTGATATTGGATGTGTTATACAATATTTCATAATATTTACAACTCGCTTCACTGGAACTAGTCTCGATAGGAATTCGAATACTAGTTCATGTGTAAACAAGGGCTTTATGTTTTTTGGATAGATTTTTAAAATAAAACATAAAACTCAGCTACCCTTCAATCCATCTTTTATATCCAAATGAACATGACCATAGATAATAATCAACGGGTCGTGGTTCCGATCCTCACCGAGTCCAATGTTTTTCTAATCAATTTATATTTTTAAAAAAATATGCTATAGGGATATTAAATATCGAAATTCCGTCCGGGGCACGAACCTTCGCCCACAGATGAAAAGCAGTCAAGTTTAAACGCGTTGCGCTTTAAGTCTGTGAATTTCAGAATATTCAAAATGGATTGACAAAATGGGTCGACAGCAGCATCTTGTTCAGATGTTAGATGGCTGAGGTAGTTCACCCAACATTAAGGGAACCCCATGTTTGTCTGTCCTCTATAATAAAAAAAACGTTGAACCTTTGATAACTTTTAAATGTTAACACTCAGCTAAAGCGAATCCTTACCACCTAGATACTGAACGCATTGAGCCCTTTGTTTATTAACTAAATTGAATTTAATTTTGCAGATTTAATGGTTGGACTGATATACGTGTTCGTTGACATCGTCCAGAAGATAACCATCGCTTGGGTCGCCGGCGAGTTTATGTGTAAAACCGTCAAGTTCCTTCAGGTATTTTCACTTATATAAATGAATATTTCTCGTGTAACATTGATTATTATTTTGTCGAAAACTAAATATTATATCAATAGGTTGTAAAAATCGATGCCGTGTAGGACACGGTTACTCAATTGGTTAGAGCAACAGCACGGGAGGCTGTGGATGCCGGTTCAAGTCCTGTCCGTAGATGTTTAAACGAATATGCACTTATAATGTACTTAGTATATGATTGATTATGTTTCTTTCCCTTCAAATGAGTTGCTTTATAAAATATTTTTTTTTAATCGAACCTAGGACTTCTATTTAAATGTTAAAAATTAAATCAATCTTCTTTTTTTCTCTACGTGGCGCTTCGTTAATTTAACAATTTAGTCTTTCGACGATAAAGCTTTCTTTATTATGATAAAAGAGGATATATATGCATGGAGTTAAGAATACTGGATGGTATTTTTGGCTTTGGATACTTGGAAATCCACAGACTGACCGAAACGCGATTAAGCTTCACGGCTTAATCGCGTGGAGCTTAATCGCTCACTTTTCATCTGTGGACGGTCTTTTAGTTGTAAAGCCACCGACTATTTTCAGACTATAGATAACAAATTATAATCAATAACTCAATACTAATACAGTCCAAATCCTTCAATTAATTTTCTTTTTCTTTCTTTATTTTCTTGATTACTATTTCAAGCAACAAAGAAAACAATTTAAGAGTGCAACGCACCTACGCTGTGTTTTAATTAAATTTAAACAATTTTGAATTTCACTAAGGAGTCAATTGATCGTTTAACTTATGCTAAATTTAGAAATATTTCAATTAAACTATTGTATATTTTAAATTTCATTAAAAATTGTTTTAGTTTTAGGGCTGTTATGTCAAATCCGTAATTTTTACGTATATTATAAATACGTAAACCATTTAACTATTATGTATATTATTAATTGGTAATTTATACATCTGTCTATTGAATTATGTCTTCTCAAATAATCCGTAAGCTTCATTTGTGTAAACGTTCCCAAACGTGTACATAATATGAACAGTGTTCATATTCAATTTATGAGGTCGGAACTTGTTTAGAACCAAACTTGCTTCGACAAAAAGCATCTACCAAAATCATTATGCCGGTGTGGTAGCTTAGCTTTTTATCTAATATGATAATTAAAAAATACAATAATCTAATCTAAACTATATAAATTCTAACTAGTTATACATTGAAAAAATACGAACAGGCGGACTAAGCGCATCACAGTGAGCGTTCCGTTCATCGTTTATAATCTAATCTTAATTATATAGTCCTCATATGCAATAACATGTGAAAAATATTTAAGTTTTTTAATCTAACCAGTGTTCATACAATTATTATATTCTTTTAGGCTGTGGTGATGTACGCCTCGACTTATGTGTTGGTGGCCCTTAGCATTGACAGATGCGATGCTATTACCAATCCTATGAATTTCTCAGGAAGCTGTAAGTATATTTTGTTCGTACTTTCTTCACGCCTCTACAAAGCAATCAGTAAAGTTTAAAATAGTTCTTTAATGACAGGGCTGCCTGGCATTGATATAAATTGCTCCTTAGGTCATTAAATTCACAAAAATGTATTAGTATGTACGACATGTTGAAAAAAGCCAGACTGAGGTTATTAGGTGTTCTCCTCGCTTAGGTTGTCAGAGTTGCTCATCTGTAAAATCACGACGAACGGACAGACAAACATATTATTTAATTTTTTTTGACGAATCTAAATAATTTTCATAATTTTACAGATAATAAATTGTATTTTATTTTAATAAGACTAAACTGTAGACGGTTTGATTCGTAATTTCACTTTGAACTAAAGACAATTCAAAACGTTCTAAAATGTTTTCCACTAAAAACTTTCTTTCAGTATAATATAACGTAGACTTAACACGATGTACGGTGGTTCGTGACCCGATCGAAAAAACACCTACAATTATTTCTACATCCATTAAAAATCCAGATTTTTTACACGATGACGAAGACAATTCAGAGATTTAATTTTTTTTTAATGCACTCGGTGGGATTCAAACCTACGGCTCCTCGTTATTTAGCACTTAAACAAAGAGCTTGTGAAATTTAAGACGACTCGGGTAGGACTTGAACCGGCATCAACAACATTCCGTAACCAATTGAGCTACCGAGTTAATTTATATAATGCGATCATGTACACTAACATGGGAAAAAAATTAAGTTTTCAAGCTCGTAAAATGTTAATGTATATACTGTCTGTAGTTTAGCGCGTAGTACACATTTCAATAAAATACTTCAACGGTTTAAAACGAGATATATATTATAACACGTCTCCCCGTGACCACGGCCGCTGCAAAGCATCCAAAACGTCGGGTAATTAAAATATTTTTTAAATAAGTTTACCCATCGCGTTTTAAACCGTAAAAAGTGTTTTATTTAAATATTAATTATTTCGTTTGCGTCTTTAATAAAAGTTGTCTACCATACAACGATATGGCGAGAATAATATGAAATGAATTGCCTTGGAGTATAAGGTTATTCTCAATTAAAATGCAAATTCATACGTAAGATAACTTAGATTCAACCATGTGTTTAGGGCGTTAACATGGAGTGACTTTATTCGAATCCTCTGAAATGTTTTTCTAGTTCTGCACGCGAATATAAGCTTTATGTTTGAAATACTTAGAACTAGATTACAATGTCTTAATATCCTTGCACCTGGGAGACTGCAGATTTAAAATAAAATAATGGCACAACGAAATTTTACTTGGAAATTGCAGTGCGCTAGAAAAGTTTAGATTTTAGTTATATTTTAATCCAAAATTCTTATTATTTAAAATGAATGACCATTATATTACGAATAACTATTTAAGTTAAACAACACTACCTTCACATTATACGTAAGCTTGTTAGGTAGATGAAATATCCCAGCCATATAACATCTACACAAGATGTGTTGTCGACCCATTTTGGCTTTGGATATTCGGAAATCCACAGACTGAAACCGAAACAGGTTTAAACCTGACGATTTTTTCATCTGTGGACGATAGTTCGTAACCCGAACGGAATTTCCACCACTCACTTAATGTCCAGATTTCCAGACGAAGTCCAACGTGTTTCAGAAAAAAAAACCAATTGATTAGAAAAATGTTGCACCCTTTGGGGATCGAACCCACGGCCCGTTGATTAATAAGCATACATTGCTACAACTACACTAACGAGCCCGTCACACTTTTTTACAGGGAATAGAGCTCGGGCCCTCATCGCCGCTGCCTGGGCGATAAGCATCCTTTTCTCAATACCACTGCTGATCCTTTATGAAGTGAAAGAAGTACAAGGTAGGATTACAATGTAAAACACGTTTTATTCTGGGCTGTGCCCGCCACTTAGTCCGCGTAGAGTAGTTACTTTGGACATCAAATTTTGTTTTTGCATATACAAACTCCTCGGTTTTATAAATCCATAGCTGTGCTAGCGACTCCTTTCACGTAGATTGAGTAATTTTAGCATCGGAATCCTTTTTGCGAACTTCCTCCTCATCTTAATAAACTATAGCCGTTACCCACGACGTCGTCCGCATCCCGTCCTTCTTGCGAGTTAACCATAAAAGATAGACCTATACTGCCGTTTACATCTGTTTAAAGTAGAATAAATCTATCATACATATGTTTCGATTTCTTTAACTGTTTTGTGTACGCAACGGAAGCCCGCAAAAATGAATCATTTTCTTCGTTCTTTTGATATTTCCAACTCTTACTTCGCTCCTGTTGGTCACCGCGTAAAGTATATAGACAAATGCTTTCTAGACAAATGGTGTGTCCAAACATGTTTCTAAATTACTTTATAACAATATTATAAGAAAGATCATTCACCTGCCTCATAACGATAATGATCTCTCACCTGTCTTAATTGCCGTGTAATGTCTTCATTAGAAGTCATTATGTAATTTTATTACTAAATGTTAAGATTTTTTAAATTCGTCCACGTTGACGGGGTGGTTAAACTTTGTCAACTGACAACGGTTATACCAATAATAATTTTAGAAGGTAGAAGAAACTTCCGTATAAGTTTATACGGAAGTTTCTTATTTACCTGTGACGTCATCCGTAGTCCTGGGTTCATATACTTGCGAAACAATAAATTCACACTTGTATCGGTTTAAAACACGAAATGTATTGGGATTACACAATTAAGAAAAAATATGCATGGAAAAGGACAAAGTTTTTTTTATCACAAATTTAACTATATAAGGGCAAATAATTATGGAAGACACTTTGAATTAATTATGTTTAGATTTTGCACTATTTAATTTTAATAACTTGGATATTTATATCATCAGGTCAGCTCCAATGCTGGATAGACCTGGGCACATCACGACGATGGCAGATCTGGGTGACATTGGTAGCGGCGATGATCTTTGTGCTACCAGCGCTGGCAATAGCAGCTTGCTATGCTGTGATAGTCCTCACCATCTGGACGAAGAGCAAAGCAGTTGTCATGAGTCCTCCAGTTAACTCCAGGCGATCGAAGAACATGCGAAATGGTAAAATCAAAAAGAGAATAGAAACGCTTTTGCCCATAAACCCTCGCGCTCAAAGTTACAAACATATTATGTGGTGTGTCTTAGTCAATATCGCGGGAGTCATTATTTGTCATTCCCCGTAATAGTTCTACGTATATTAGATAGGGTTGCCGGCTAATGTACATTGCGGTGTATGTTAACATTTGATGCATGCCTGTTGTTAATAGCTAGACTCGAGTAACAACTTAGTTTTACATTAGGGTAGCATTACACAGTCTATTTTATTTTATTTATTGACTAGTCGTCTATGTCTGCGTGTAGTTATTTTGGGATCATATTATTTATTCTAACAAACAATGTCCTTTATAAATTATTACTGTTTCCCACGACGTCGTTTGCGTCTTTCTCGTGAGTTAATGTTAACATATAGACATACACTGTTACGGACATTTTTTAGATCATTTAAACAATCATTTTTTTCTATATAGTTTTTTAATTAAAATCGTACGATCTTTTTTATGTCAGAGGGGAACAGATAATCATGGAGTTTCACTTCATGGAAGGGAAAACACCCCAGCCATATAACAAAAGATGTACTGTCGATGATTTTGACTTTGGATATTTGGTAATCCACGGACTGAAACCGCAGGCGATTAAACTTCACGGCATCTGTGGACGGAATTTCGATATTTCTACGACCTATTCATTTCATATTTTTGAAAAGTACAATTCGGAGGTATAGCTTCAACACAAAACAATATTCCGCTAAGATGATTTGGCAAACAGAGAGCACACAAGAAATAACATCTCAACGTGAAGCGGAAATGGTAACATCTGATGGAAACCACTAATGACGTTTAAGGCGCGTTCAAATGGGTTCGTTTTATTAGATCTCAAATTTAATAATCGATGCGAAAAATACGGTTTTGTTTATCGTTTTTATGCAGATTATATTGATACATAGGTAGAGTCCTAATAAATAATTTAGAGTCAGTATATTGTTGGTTTATTAATTGTAATTAAATATTTCGGTAACAATCTAAATGTTAAATACTGTCTATATTTACGCGAGTAGTACACATTTAAATAAAACACTTTAACGGTTTAAAACGCGATATATTAGTTAAACTTATTTGAAAATGATTTTTAACTTCGGCCCGACTTTCGGATGCTTTGCAGCAGCCGTGGTCACGGGGAGACTAAAGATGGAGGATGTCTCAGACGTCAAAGTAAAGAATTGCTACGCTAGCGCCATCTGTTCCGTCGAAGTTGGTATTTGGCGAAACTGGCCGGGTCCTTACAGAATTGACTAACGGTGTCTTCGCGTTTGCTGGTATGCTGTTTATTGGGATCCAGAGTTTTTAATATGGGATCCCAGGTGTTTGATAGTTTGAGGCCGTCCTCCCTATTGAAATTTCAATCTTCAATTTTCAGTCTTCGCGTTTGCTGGTATGCTTTTATTGGGATCCAGAGTTTTTAATATGGGATCCCAGGTGTTTGATAGTTTGAGGCCGTCCTCCCTATTGAAATTTCAATCTTCAATTTTCAGTCTTCGCGTTTGCTGGTATGCTGTTTATTGGGATCCAGAGTTTTTAATATGGGATCCCAGGTGTTTGATAGTTTGAGGCCGTCCTCCTTTGAAATTTCAATCTTCAATTTTCAGTCTTCGCGTTTGCTGGTATGCTGTTTATTGGGATCCAGAGTTTTTAATATGGGATCCCAGGTGTTTGATAGTTTGAGGCCGTCCTCCCTATTGAAATTTCAATCTTCAATTTTCAGTCTTCGCTTTGCTGGTATGCTGTTTATTGGGATCCAGAGTTTTTAATATGGGATCCCAGGTGTTTGATAGTCCTCCAGGCCGTCCTCCCCTATTGAAATTTCAATAGGGAGGACGGCCTCAAACTATCAAACACCTGGGATCCCCATATTTAAAACTCTGGATCCCACTATACATCAACCACAGACCGAAGACACCCGTTAGTCAATTCTGTAAGGACCCGGCCAGTTTCGCCAAATACCAACTTCGACGGAACAGATGGCGCTAGCTACAATTCTTTACTTTGACGTCTGAGACATCCTCCATCTTTAGTCTCCCCTGACCACGGCTGCTGCAAAGCATCCGAAACGTCGGGCCGAAGTTAAAAATCATTTTCAAATAAGTTTAACTAATATATCGCGTTTTAAACCGTTAAAGTGTTTTATTTAAATAAAAATCTAAATGTTGTACATAGTATGTTAGAAAAAATCGTGAAATTAAATTCTATGCTTGTTTTTTTATTATTACAATAAAAGCGATAATTTTGTCATATATTTCTGTGAATAGAACATTAGTTTTCTATCTATATTCGTCTCTGCGATATAGCTCAACAGCTATCCCACTTGGACCTGAAACTTTTCAAATCGGAAGATGACAAGATTATTAGTACTTCTTACATTTTATAAAGTAATGACGTGGTACCGGTACACAAAAAAGGATTCGGCCAATGACAAGAAATAACTAGTAGATTTTTTTGGTAATGACAGAAGGCGAAAGAGTGAAAAAATAAAGAAATATGAAAGATTCAATCGGGTGTGTGTCTGGTTGTTGGTATCTGTGGAGAGGTACCGTAAGACAGTGTGTTAACTGCTGTTTATTATAGCAACAAAACAAATTTAAATGACTTATTTTATCCTTTTACAAGTCATACTATACCTCACCAAGACCTAGGTTATATGTAGGATGTCTAATTTTTTGTTGTAATTTCCAGGGCAGGTGGAATGTGACCCAGATTCCCGTCGTGCCAGCTCCCGTGGCTTGATACCGCGAGCCAAGATTAAAAGCGTCAAAATGACTTTCGTTATTGTTTTTGGTACGTACGCTTTAATTACGTGTGCTGTGTGAACTTGGCCTAATAAAGTAATGAATGTCCCTGCTACAGATACGACTAATGAATAATTATTTATTAATTGGGGTATTATTGTGTCTTGCTTCTAAATGACACGATTTATCTCCATCAGTTAGCTATGTATTTATTTTTACTGTATTTATTTAATTGAATTTGTTCAACAATATTTTAGGTTCAGGTATTTATGCGTAATTAAGTATTTATTAAGTAACTATGATAGGACAAATATATAATTTTACAAACATCTCTATATATATAATTTAATAGTTATACGTTTATGATAGAAAATTCATCTTTCAACTTTTTCTTTTCTTTTCAACCACAATATTCCGTTATTTTTCGCTTTTTCAGTTTTTTTTTGTTACGTCAATCAAAACACATTATTTTAAGTAGATATGTAATATGTATAATCATATCCAATACATGTTGTATCTCACTATATTTATATTATTAACATAACATTGTACACATAACTATAAATGTCATTAATTTTGTTTATGTTGTATGCATTTTTAGTAAATCTTTATACGTTTTTAATATTTCAACAGTTACACCCAATAATATAATAAAATCACATTTAACAGAATAAAATATAAATAAATACGATTGTTATTTTGAATAATAACCAAACATTACCATTGTACCAACGAGTCTATCAAAGTTTGAAGTTTTACAAATGTGACCTTACCTTTACTATCAAAGATTAGCTAATTTATGATGGTCAATCTTCTAGCTGTTTAGAAGGATTAAGAGTTAGTGCGACACTATGATTGATGTAAGCCCTATGCCAACCCTCGTTATGTGGGTATCTAATTTATTTATTCAAGTCAGCTGCACCACAGCTGGCGAACGACGAGACATCCAGCCAGGTTAAGATCTATACCAGGTCATATACAGACAGTCTGCATCACATGCATGATAACGAAATGTCGATTGATGCGTACCGAAAATTTACTTATAGTATTTTTATTTAAATTATAATAAACAGAAGCACGTAATTATATACTTCATTTTCGGTTTCCACAGAAGACGCGTACGCTCACTCCAAAAATAAATATCTTACTACATGTAGGTAAATGTATTCCCGATCCGGAATAAATAAATAACTACACAATTTTGAGGCATTATAACTTTTCGAGTATCGCAGTTTAACTAATCATAAAGTCAGAAATAAAAAAATTGTGATACCAGCGGGTACGATCTAATTCTTGTATCGAAAGCGCACATACATTGGTGTTCACTCAGAAAATACTGCCTTTGTATCAAAATAGTTAAACGTGTAACGTCTTTGCCTACCGTTGAGCACGAGAAGACCTGGTTTCGAATCCTGGGAAGAGAATAAATTGTTTCGGTTAGGCAGGGCACAAAAATATGATGCCTGTAAATAAAATCGATCAGTGAAACGGACATATAAATGTGTTTGCCCTCCACTCCCTAGTTAGTAAACATACTGTCTGTAATTTACGCGAGTATTATACAATTAAATTAAAACATTTTAACGGTTTTAAACGTGATATATATTGGTTAAACTTGGTTGAAAATTATTTTACCTACGGCCCGACGTTTCGGATGCTTTGTAGCAGTCTCCCCGACTACGACTGTGTATTATTTAAAAGTAAAAATGCCTCTATCGGGAAGGAATAACCAAGCGGAATTCGGAATTGGAAACTTCGTATCTAAAAACACAGATAAAAATAAACTAAAGCTGTTAAAAGTGGATTGAAAGATTCATCTCATAATCAAAACAAATTCGGTTTGATAATAACAACTTGTACGCAAATGTTGCAAGAATAGCGCGTGTAAACACCGGAAGGCGATTACCTAAGAGGATTATATTCAGACTCATTTATATGTCAGACATTAATGATGTATGAATCTCGTCTATTCTTAACACGGCTCTGTAGTTCAAGATCGGGAGTTAGTTGATTACTTCCTGCATAGCGCTGTGAAGTGGATCCATTTATATATATACATATAATACAATAGATAGTTAAGACTTTAATACAAATTTGAATAAAACACTTTAACGGTTTCAAATGTGATATACATAAGATAAAAATAATTATCAAAGAAGTTCAATTAATATGTACCGCGTTTTAACCCGTTAAAGTGTTTTATTTAAATGTGCACTACTCGCGTAAACTACAGATAGAGTTTACTTCAATACAAATGTCATTTTTCGCCTAATTTAATTCTTATAACGTTCTAGAGCTCGTAATGAATAAGTGAAAAAAAATGAAATTTGTTTACCTAGTGTCTAGTTTAAAGACACTTTCCCTTTGCTATAACACACCCCTGACACTTTTGTAATTACAATTTTACGTTAAATGACAACCGGAAATAGCTTTCAGGCGAGCTTTAATTGAGCACGAAACTTATCAAAAGTACGAAATATATAACAAACATCAATTTTTCCATTTATGTAACATTCTTACAAACTTTAACGATTGAATTATGAACAGAATTTATCACTCAAATAACTTGGTTGAAAACGCATGTTACATAGGTTAATGACACCGTTTGTGTTTGTATTACTGAAGAATCCAGACACTCTCGCGCCTAGCGCTAAACTAACAAATAAGTTTAGCGAAGACTATTATAGTTAAAGAGTTAATTGAGTAAGAAAAAAGTACGAAATATATAAAAATTTATTATCCTACTAATATTATAAATGTGAAAGTTTATATGTGTGGATGTTTGTTACTCTTTCACGCAAAAAACTACTCAATGGATTTCAATTAAACTTTCTAATAATATAGTTTATACATCAGAATAACACATAGACTACAATTTATAAAGATATCGTGTGAGCTGTCCAAAATATGACATTAAATGTCAAGTAACTAGGAAAAAACCTACATTTCTGCGAGCTATTCTGACGTGCGCTGCCATAAACGTTAGTTGCACATATTTATGTCATAATGTTAGTTCTTTTCTATGCCATGCAATATAACCTACTCCAAATACTGCGCAATAATCCTGCGCAGACAAAGTCACGGGTACCTGCTAGTGTCCAATACATCCTAGGAATCAACTAGATATGAGTTTGATAACCGCCTGGTCCAACTTATTGCAAAGAATAAATTTTTACTTTTTTATTTAACATGTACCCTAAGACTTCGTCTGGAAATATGGACACTGCTTTATGGAATGTCGAAAATGCCCACGCCACGTACCAATAAAAGGGCCGTGACATGTAAACGCATTTCGATGTCAGTCTGGATTTCCTAACATCCAATATATGCCGACAGCACATCTTCTATAGATCTTATTTGGCTTGGGTATAACGTTCTATTAAGTGAAATTCATGATTATCTGTCTCTGAATTTACATATGAACTATATTTATCAACAAAAATGTATTTCTCTGTAAAAATTTTCGATGTCGGCTAAACTATTTAGGATTCGAAGTGTTGAGAGACGCGTGTTGTTGTTTGATGTTTTAGTGGAGTAGATTTCAATACTGTTTGCTTCTAATATTTTTTCACTAAGCAGTGCTTTAGAGTATTATGGAATATTTTCAATATCTTCAGCCACTTTTATTTATGGATATCGTCAAAGATATTAAATATTCATAAGCGTATTTATATAATTGTGTACTTACTACTGAATTATATTGTTTGAAACCCTTTTTACTTACTTTAAATTTGATTTTAATATCCGTTCACAAAATTGATACACCTATTTTAATATCGGAAGTAAGGTTTTTTGTAATCGGCTAAACATGAAAAAAACCGTGAAGTGTAACCGCGTTTTGGTTTCCATCTAGCAATTTCCGAATATCTAAGGCCCACATAGGTCGACAATACGTCTATTTGAGACGTTATTTAGCTGGAATATTTCACCATCTTCTCTATCGAAAAAAAAAACAAAAAGTTGTATATACAACTAAAAACTCATTTGATTTTAAATACAGTAGGGCATAGTAGTAGGGCGTTGTAAATAGACACCTGTATAAGTACAAAGTATAAAGAAAAAAACAATTTATATAATATTTTAAAATTTGTAATCTTAATTTTGCCAGTAGTTAAGTAATTTCTTAGTTAAATAGAGAATCACCGGTCTTATTGTAAAAATATATGATACTTCTTAGTCTTTAAATTATTAAAAACCTTTTAAATTATCACCAAAAAGAAACAAAACGTCATACATGTTATACAAATATTTTTCAGAGTTGAGCGCCATCTAGTGATTTAACATCGAACTTTCTTTCAGTATTCGTCCTGTGTTGGTCGCCGTACATCGTCTTCGACCTCCTACAAGTGTACAACCACATACCACCTACTCAAAGCAATCTAGCAATTGCGACCTTCATCCAGAGTCTGGCGCCACTCAACTCGGCAGCTAACCCTTTAATATGCTGTATGTTTTCCCCCCATATCTACAGTAGCTTGAGGTAAGACCCTTTGCATACAATAGGAATAAAAACATGAATCTATACTAATATAATGTTGAAGAGTTTGGTTTTTTAACGCGCTAATCTCAGGAACCACTAGTTATGTGTTAGAATATTTATCGAGGAACGGTTTAGGCTATACGATGCGACCAATAGAAAACAACTATTCCACGCGGACGAAGTCGCGGCCACAGCTAGTCATCAATATATAAGAAAGTATATTGTACTAAACAAAATACAATCTTGAAAAATAATATATTGGACCGATTTTATGTATGTATGTATTGACAATAAAATATTAATTGAAGTTTTTCCATCTGCTAATAATATTAATAAAATAAATAAAATTAATTTTCTTCGGGAGCATTAGCGTCTAATTTCAATTTGTCTTTCTTCCTATCAGACGTTTTGTTAATGTGAAATATTAATAACATACTTTGCATTTTATTAGTGCATGAGCACATTTGTATAACAGAAAATAATAAATTAATTTAAAACATGTTCGACCCGGTGGGGATCGAAGCCTCGACCAGTTGATAAGTAGCCCTATATTACACCAACGAGCTCGTCGAATTTTCTCTTGAACCGATACCATGCAAAGCATTGATTGTTGATGAGCTAACTAAATTTCAGACGTGTCCCGCCATACCGCTGGCTCTGGTGCGGCCACCGACGGAAGCGTCATGTTCGAGGAACCCTTCGGTCTCGTTCTGACTCCACAGCCAACTCGGACCTTCTCAGTTCCACTCATGCGAGACGATCTCATACCGTTGCTACGGTAAAGCACTAAAACTTATAAATTACCTACCTATATATATATACCCTACCTATATATACCGTTAAATAAATTTTGTGCTGGTTTCATAAAAAAGCGTTGAACTTACGTGGTATACGTAGACAGTGTTTTATGTAAATATGTAAACATACTTTTGTTCAGTTAAGTATTTATATTGGTATAAATCGCGTAATGCACTGGGAATCGATTACTTATCATATCAATTTAATTGAATTGGAGGGAGATATCTGATCCAATAACTCTTGTATTACAGGCTTTGAACCGCACGTGCAGCAGCAGCATATCCCGAGCACAGGAGCAGCGGCGTACACAATTGCTAGTGTTAATACCGGCTAAGGACTGACCCCGGCTGTCAACGACTCTAGCGCACGATGTGATGCTATAAATAGAATGGCCAACACAAACATTGAAGGAAAATAAAATAGTATTTTTTAAATATTGTAACGTTATTGACGGAGGCGAGAGTCAACCCGACTACCTCACGACTTTAAAACTGAGCTGTTTGCATGTCTACATACTTGGCATGGCTTAAAAGAAAATTTGCTGAATTGTGCTGTAGAAAAAATCGTAATTTTTTTATTACCATTTTTTTTTTAAGTCTTCAAGCGTTTCCTATTGTGCGCCCTTCGTAAAAAATCTGAAAAATTATTAGAACAATTTTTGTCAAACAAAATTACATTTTCCATACATACTTAGCACTTTAAACAACACACACACTTCAACTGTTTAAAACGTGATATATATCAGTATCACTTATTTGGAAGTTGTATTAACTACGGCCCGACGTTTCGGATGCTTTGCAGCAGCCGTGGTAACGGAGGGACTAAAATTTTCGACTCGAGCTGGACAAAAATTTTTTCAATTTATTTTCGATTTTTAAATTAAATAGTGCCTTCATGTGCAATAACATATAAAAAATAATAAAGCTTTCAAATGTTATACATTTGTTGTACTTTGCATATATTTGTCGAAATTCTCAATACTTTTACGCGTGCTCCTCTCGCCTCTGCTCATTAATTATTATTAATTTAATGTATTTGTTATTGTTGTCCATCTTTTCATAGGCATTTAAATATTTTGCACGTTCCTACCATTTTTTTTAATAATTTGAGCATTAAAAATATCATATTATTTCGTATAACTTACTTAAACAAATAGTATTATACTGAATTTCTTTTAGTGAGTACATATTTTTGGAGTGTATTGAAAAAACCCGTATTCTTTTTTATTACATATTAAAATATAGTGATTAATTAAATGTACAGTATAGAAGTTAAAAGTATATGTCAACTGTCACAAACAAACACAACGTCTCTTTTGAAGTCGGTGAATAATTAATTGTTCTCATTTCGTAATATTGGCCTGGTGTTGCCAATATAATGGTGTTCTAAGAAATATCTGTAGTTTTTTTAAACCGGTAGTATCCTTGTAAATAAAACATTTTTAAGGGTTTAAAACGTGAAATATATTAGTTATCTTTTTAATGCTTCAAATGCTTTGAAGACAATATGTAGGGCGTCAAAAGTTAAGACTTAGGTCAAAGCCAAATGGCGCTTGTATAGCACTTGCATTGACATAGGTTATATAAATTCGTTTTAAACCGTTAAAAGTTATTCTTCTGATTTCGTTTTTTAAATGATTCTGTATTTGTTCATATTCATACATTAAGGAATGTTGTGATAGTAATTGAGATGTGTTCAGGAAGACCGAATTACGCAAATGTAGACCAATTTGGGGGTCATTGACCTGGCTTGTAGGACGCAGCTGTTATTGGTTTTGTGCCAAAATGTCTGTCTAATTTCTTCCGATCCATTGATCAATATTTACTTATATGTTATTATAATCTAAAAATATCGTATAGTTATTAAAAAATAACAAAATGAAATGTATATAGTAAATTTACAAATTACGAGAAAAAATCAACGCACTTTTTTTCCATGCAGGCATGGCACCATACCAGACCCGCATGGAAAAAAAGTTAATTCCCGATTACCTCATGTAGGCATGTTTCTCTGATCGATTTTGTTGACGGGTTCATCACATGTCTACACGACCGAAAGTATTCTTTTACCCGGGATTCCAAAACGTTTTGAGCCACGCATTGATATACAGAGCCTGACAGTGCAGTTATAGGGAAGTCAAAATTCTAACAAAACCATAAATATTTGAGCTACTTGTCAACTGCGCCAGTTGACTATGTAGCTCAATTATAAAAATGTGACCATTCAGCTCAAACGTATTTGTCAATTCGATTAGCATTGAGTTAAGTTACTTCAGGAGTTACTTGTCTACCATGTGTTATAAACCCTTAAAACGGTGTTTCAATGTTAAATAAATATTTTGTCTAAAAAATAATCACTCTTCCAAAACGAAGACTAACTTTCAAACTTGGTTTAAACCCTGGTTTACTTGAAAACCTTATTACAAAACGAAGTTTTACGTTCGTACTGCACTAACTATGGTACATTAGAACATAATTTATGAGTTAAACCACGACTCCACAGTCCTGGTTTAAGTTTTTTTTTTGTAATAAGACCGAATGAAATCTATTTATAAAAATACTTTTAGTGTTGCAAAATTAAAAGTAATTAATTAATTTTTTAAATTAATTTCAACAGACTAAATGTATTGCCATATTTCGGACTGAAATAATATAACTAAGTCACTAAAAATATGTATTATATATAAATAGTATCGTAATTATTGTATTAAGTATTAAAATTCCCACTTCTGGGAATTGGAATTTTAGCGAAATTTTGATGGTATAAGAATTTTTTGTTCCTATACATTATTTTCGCACTAGAGTACGTATAAAAAAAATCTAGTCTATAATAAAAATGCAGAATTGTCTATTTAATGTTGTCATTTTAGTTAAGTAGTAAAAAAAATTTTACAATATTTGATGTACTTTGAAAGATTTGTTTAAATTTTGCCTTTGATTATCTAGGTATACATTTTAAGTTTATTTTAAGAGAATTAAACAAGCATTTATAAGTTAGTTTTTTATACCAATGTATAATCAACTTTACCCGAAGTTTACAATGATTTGGCATATTCTTCGTAACGGAATGCAAATGTATTATTTTTGTATTATATACCTATTGTTAAGTATAATAAAAAGTATTATTCAACTGTACATAAAAAATGTTTTTTCTATCCACATGGATATTTTAAAGTCTTTATTATAGTTTATTAAAACAGTATTGTTGTGTTTGATATACTTTAAATAAAACACTTTTTAACGGTTTAAAATTCGTACTATATTAGATAACTTCAATTACTGTAATAACGGCTCGTGTAGTTTGTTCATTTTTAATCAGGATGTTTCTGAATATAGCGCGCTCAAACAAACAAACTCTTCAACTTTATAATATAATGATAGAAAATTACGTCTAGTTAGGAAATAACTAAAGTCGTTTTTATTGAATACGTATTTACGAATAAAATGTTTATATATATGTTAGAGGAATATATGTTAGATGACGCCTTCAAGGAGAGGATAAGTGGTGATGGTAAGGCTATATAATCTCATTCAACATAGTTTGGTTTAAAACGTTAATATTTTGCACATAATGGCACTATATGATTTGAAAATCCAACATAAATTGAAAAAAGTTTACACTCGGGCAGGACTTCAACCGTCCTCGTCAGCGTTCCTCTACTCGGTAGCTCAATTGGTAGAGCAACAGTACTGAAAGCTGACGATTCCGGTTCAAGTCCTGCCCGAGTCGTAATTATTTTCAGTTTATTTTCGATTTTTAAATTATAGACTTAGGTTGTACCGACAACTTTTCTAAGGGGTGACTCTGCCCGATCAAAAAGACAGTCTCATTTCTTTCAAATAGTTCACTGTTGTGTTATTTGTTAATTCGAAAGTAGGGTAGTTAGGTTTTTGTGATTTAATTTAATGTGGAACCGGTATACTGCCCTTTTTATTCTATTCAAGTCGTTACCTCTAAAAATATTTCAATGTATCATTGCGTAGTGAATGGTTTTTGACCATTTCTTTACTTCCCCATATTCTCCAACTTTCCCAAACCAATAATTGTCAAGTGACCCTATAACCCGTACCGCCGGAGGCAGCAATCTACAGTGCCACCGCAAACAAACTTTGAACAAACTCAAACTTATTGGAACTGGTATTGAATTGACGATGTCGATATAAATTTACTTATATTGAAATTGAGAAAAGAACATTATTTGTTATTTATAAATGAATATAAAAATTGGGTTTCGATTAGGAAATAAAATATAAATCCTTATTTTAAAGTAGTTATTTGTGTTAATACAGAACCTTGAAACTTATCAAATTATTTTATATAATATGATAGAGAAGGACAGATAAGCATGAGGTTCATTTGATGATATGTAAAATACACTAGCCACATAACATCAAAACAAGATGCGCGGTCGACCTATTTATCATATTCGAAAACCCACAGACAGAAACTGAAACGCAATGAAACTTGACGGTTTTCTGTGGACGGTGCTTCGTGACCCGGACAGAAATTCGATATTCATACTTTTTTTTTAAATTAAACTTTTTAAAGGCTACTGCATCCGAAACGTTATGCCGTAGTAAACATAGTTTTTAAATAATTGTAACTAATATATATCGTGTTTTAAACCGATAAAGTGTTTTATTTAAATTATACTGCTCGCGTAACCTACAGAAAGTATTTCATATTTCTTTCTGCCTGTTTAATATCCAGGTTTCCAAATGAAGTCGAAAAATCGTGGACCCAATGCGGCTTGAATACACGACCCGTTGATTATTAGCCATACATTGCTAGCAACACCAACGAACCCGTTAAACAAAAAAAAATATTTACCTAGAATTGTAAATCTACTAGTCGTGAATATATTTTCAATTAGATATAGAACTTAGATCATTAATAACCTAACCCTAAGCTCTAGTTCAAGCAACAATTAATTGAAAAACTTTGGCCATTGTTAAGCATTTTCAAGTCTATGTCAAATAATATCCCAGGTTGAGAGGGGTCTAGAATTAAAATTAAACCTATCTCTCTATAATTTATTATTTACAGGCATATTTTTAAATACCATTAACAATATATACGTGAAGCTACTAAACAAGACATGCGCATATCTGTGTCCGTTTCAATCACTTTTTTTATTTACAAATAGTGTATCAGGGCGACCTTTTTATAACTTTATTATGTTTGTTTTTATGATAGACTGACATTTAGTTTTTATGATAGATAGACTGATATGATAGACAGACAAGCGTTACTTAGGAGATGCTATATAACATCTGAACAAGATACGCTGTCGATCTATTTTCGCTTCGGATATTCGAATGTCCTTCGTGAAATAAAACCATTGAGTCTTCTCTTGTTTCAAATAATATTATAAAAACATTTAGCCACAGGATCTAGATATTTAGTGTAGCTATATGTTGGCGATATATGCTAGAGGTTTCGTGGTCCGCAGTATATCTTAATGAACGGCTATTACAATTACAACTTCCTGTAAAATAGCCATATAAAATCTTAAAATATGGTTAAATATTCTAAATTAATATAATTATGAATTTTACATAATTCTAAATCATTTATTTTACACGAATTACATTAATATAATATAAAACTATAAATAAACTTTATTTCCTTATTACGTTATGAAAACTTACAATAGATGGCGCCACTAGCTAGATGTAAATCAAATTAAGCTTTGTTCATTTAATAAAACAATTAATTTAGAGTTATAACATTATTAATGTAATTTTACTGTGAACATTTATACAAAAATAATAATTAAAACAATATGTTACGAATCATGTTGACAAAATAGTCAATATTATTATGATAATTATTCAAACAACGAATGTAAATATTAATTATATAGTTTGATAATCATAATATAATTATTAAATACTGATTGGAGCCCATATATACTATGTTAAAAGGATTCATATCTTAAGTTAAATTCACTTAAGAAAGAACAAAAATCTCTTTCTAAAAGTATTCCGAATTCCAAGTCACTTTAGTTACGCTACTGTGAAGTTTTATTAGACATTTTTAATTTTCCTTGCAGAGGAAATGCAATTTGAAACATTCAAGATTTGGCGCAAGTTCACTGTGTTTTAATATCATTTAAAAGAAAGGATGACTTCTTTCTTATCTAAATAAATGTAATATCATTGTTTTAACGTGCCTTTCGAAAAATATTAGTTAACTTATTCGAAATTCATTGGAATTCTGTCCCGATGTTTGAATGCTTTGCAACAGCCGAACAATATTAATCACGACCATAGTTAAAGAATATTGTAAATATCTAAACTTACGCGTTTCGAACGGTAGAAAAGTGCTTTTTTTTATTAAAAAACTATCTTGTCTTGTCTTGACTTACTTATGTCTACTGTCTGTCACCTTTATATATATATATTTACGCAACATGTCCTTCAAGATATTAGTAGTATATATAATATACTAGAGATTTTTATAGCGCAGACCTGCCACGCTTCTTCAATGTGGATTGGCGGTATTTAATACTAATAGCTATGTAAGGGAAGAAGAGATATGACATTTTACACAAATTCTAAAATCAATATATCTATGAACTAGCCAATAAATAAAAGAAATTGTTTTATTATTTGCACAACTTCAATAGAGTATTAATAATCAATATTTGTCTTTAAACGGGAAATTAATAAAACGACTTGTTTGATTTGTAGCTTTTATTTCCCTCGGGTAGAATGTCTTTGTGCAACAATTCTCTTTTGTTTTATTGTTTGACGTCCTTTCTATTAAAGCAAATTTGATATTGAACTAATTTAACGAGTTTACTGGGATTCAAATCTGGGACCTGCTTTTCACAATATTATAATAATAAATAAATAGTAGTGGAAATAAATGGAACTACAATAAAAAAAAATACTACGATAAAATTAAATTAAATATTAATAAAATTGATGCCAAAGGGGTCTTGCGTCAGCATAAGTTGCAGCACGGTCAGCATAAGCTCCAACACTGATTTTTAACAAAACCCTACTGTTCGTCTGTTGGACAGCGCTCATACGACCATTTGATATTATATAACAGTAACTTAAGCAGGAGACATTTGTAAGTAAAAGAATTAAATATGATTACTGATATAGTAAGATAAGCAACGGAAAAGTGTCGCACTACACTTTAGTTATAAAAAATGTAATCATTCCATTAGACATAACCTCTGTGAAAATAAATCGCCACGCCAGAATCTGTGAAAGGGAGTCATTGAATTATTCATTCATTCATTCATTTATTCATCACAGAGTGATAGGTAAAGATACGCTCTATCGAGTGGAAGGTACTGTCTCCTTTGAGTTTGATATATATTTACATTTTTATAGGATCAAATGTACGGTTTTAAGTCGTAATAAAACATACCTATATTTTTAATGGGTACAACTTGTATCTCGTCTTATTGACTGTTATTTAGTTCTAAAATCAGTGATCATATGTTATTGAACATGAAGGAATTATATATATATTAAAAATCTATTTAGAATGGAAATATTTGGGGACACGGACGGGACTTGAACTAGATTCCACAGCGTTCCGTGCTGCTGCTCTCACCAACTCGTAAGTATTTGGACAAGCTCTTTGGTCTCATAGTAGTAATCAATGGGTCGTGGGTTTGAGCCCAAACGAGTCCAATATGTTGCAAATGTTTCAATTTATAATTTTTATGAAATATTCGTCTTTTTCTTGAAAAAGCTATGAAGTTTGATAACGTTTCGGTTGCAGTCTATAGAGTTCCGAATATCCAAAGCCAAAATAGGTCGACAGCAGCACACCTTCTATAGATGTGATGTGATCTGAGGTATTTCACCTACCTTCAAGTGAACGCTTGTCTATTCTCCTCTATCATAAAAAAGTACAACTTTTAGAATTAAATTTCGCAAAAGTTATGATTTTTTTTCCAAAAAAAATCGATGATGTATGTGACGAGGTAAACTGTTTAGACAATGGTCGCCATGGATGTCGGTACAAGTCCCGCCCGTGTCGTAAAATTATTTCAATCTAAATACAGCATGGATTCAAACACTACGAACCATTTTCGGGTCATCACAAAGTAGAATATCTCTTGCGCCTAACTTGATCCTGTTAAACTGAGCTAAACATGGAAGTCACGTCCTGAAATTCTAAACTCATTTAGTTGATTGAGGCGGAAACTTAGGTGCCGAATATGGAAACCGAGATTCAATTACTCAGCCCTTAATACATAGGATTGACGTCATATCTACCTGTGAAAAGACGAGTGTCTATTTTGATATATCTTTAAGGCCATATTTTTGAAGCTCGTAACTACTAAGTACTTACAAAAAAAATGTCGCTGTGGTGACTTCTTCTTCTAATCTAGAAGAATTCTGCCCAACGAATAAGAAGTTAGACCTAGTTGTCATAAAGTTGTTGTATGTTTTTAATGCTTATAGGTAATACGGAATATAGCTAAGATGTTGTAAGAACAAATCTTGTTTCTTTCCTTACGTGAAGGGTGACAATTTTACGAGCCTATGAAGATTTTTACTTAGTATGTTGTAAGGGATCAATTTGACCTATTAAAGTTTGAACTTTAACAATTCTTATCGATTATGGTAAACGGATCATTATTGTAGCTGATTTATCAAACTTAGCACATAAATCTGATGATTTATCATTTTTTAAGTAACGTTAATTATTAGAACAGACACATAGATGAGGTTTCTTCAAGTCCAATGTGCGGAACGAAAAACATTTTATTTGTGTAATTTGACGCTCTAAAATTTAATTTATTTAATGTATAAATGAATTATCATACAAATAGGCCAATTTTTCGTCGTTAATTACTTGGTTGTTATAAAAGTCCCATGAATTTATAGTAAATATATATGAAAACTTATTTCCAGTTCTACTTTTAAACGTCAATATTTAAACAAATACTGGCCATTAAATAAAAAGGGCGAGGTTCAATCACACAGTGGTCACTACGCGAAAGATGTGTGCATTTCGTGATAACAACAGTTACGTTATAGTAACGTGACCGGGTCACGTACGATAACGTTTTCCACATTATACGACCTATCGAGAGGCCTATAAAATAACGCATATAAAAGGGACAGTAGCGCCACCTCTCTTGTTTTTCAGCCATTAAACATCATCGAGTTATATAAAAAGTGAGGTTATAAGCAATGAATTATTGGATATTAAACTTTGTTTTTCTTCGGTCTTGGTTTTTCCTCGTGGCATGTTAGTTAAGGGTTTTTATGTTATGTGAATATTCCTGTTTTTACTAGTTTTATATTTTGCTATTAAATACTACTCTTTAGCCATTAAGTATACAATGAACTGATCTTTAACTATTTAATTTTAGCATTTGCTGTTTTACCAATTCTTAATAATGTATGTGGCTGAAAAGACCCCGCAAGTATAAATTATAAGTAGATACAGCCTTTAACTATTTCTATTGTAACTATTTTTAGCCTTTCTTACTTTAAATATTTATAACATATTTGCTCGTAAAGTGGATGTAATTACACCAATTTCAATATCGTAATGTATCTCATTACGTACTTGTGCGATAATGTAATGTAAAAGGCACGTTTTTTTTTTCTTAGGAAAGAGGTTTTATGCCAAGAAAGTGGTCAATATTTTATGAATAAAATTAACTTAAATTTGCCTTCATTCGTTCGGTCGCAAGTGTTTTTGTGTGCTCCCGCAAAAAACGTTTAAATAAATTAGTAAAAATGTCGAAAATTAGTCAAAATAGTGATTTAAGCAGTTTAAACGAGCCAAATAGCCCATATGTTACTCCAGGGTGTGAAAAAAACTCGTTCGAAACTAATATTAATACGCTGAGAGGATCCCAAGATAGGTGTGCAAGCATCCGATGATTCACTTCTCATAAATGGTGATTGCGATTATGCTTTGGAACTCCGAGCCTTCAAATACCAAGTTATCATGAAAATGGACATGCAAACAAGAGCTATTATGATCTTCGAGATTTGTGTATTTCCCTGAAATCCGGAATTGCACGAAATTAAAACGAAGTTCATGTCGGTAGTTGAACAAAGTGATAAAAGCAATAGTGGAAATAACAATCGTGCTCTCAATGTAAATAACGGGCAATGTACTCATACCGAGGACATATCGGAGAAGCGAATAGAAAATATACCAACACCAACATTTGCCAAAATCGCTCAAAACCCGAGGCAGGTAGGCGGTAGTACTAGCGAGGCCACAAAAGCCACGTAAATCAGCTCAGCGACAATCAAAACGCAACGAGTTAAGAAACAATTGAAATCGATGGATCTAGAGACCGTAGAGGTAGGACATAGGAATAACAAAAATAATTCCCAAGAAAAAGTCTTAAGGTCACAATCTGCAGATATTATGCGAGGAAAAAATTGCAATATGCTTGAGATTCAGGCTTCAGAAAAAATAAAACATCTACATGTTTGGCGATCGAAAACTGATACCACAGTGGATCAGCTATCAACTTATGTACAAAAAATATGTGGATCGGATATTCATACAAAGATTATTAAACTAAAACATAAGCGGGAAAGAAGCTATTCCTCTTTTATAATCACCGCTTCAGAATCAGTGTATCAGAAGTTATGCCAGCCGGAAGTTTGGCCCATTCATGCAGAGTTTTCTCAGTGGTATTGGTTTCGTAAGTCAAAAAGCAAATCAATCGAAGAATAATGCTCATTTAACTATCTATTATCAGAATGCCAGGGGCCTTCGGACTAAGTTGAACAGTTTTTGTAGCAACATAGAATATTTAGAAGCTATTGCGGAAGCTGGATGTAATGACTCGATAATGGACGGCGAAATTATACCTGCAGGGTACCAAATTATTCGGTGCGACCGTAATGACGGACGTGAACGCGGGCATTTCTAGTAGCCGCGCGCGGTTTACGAATACAAAGAGTGAGTCGATGCGAACTAGATGACGTCACGGCAGATCGCCACTCGTTCGAACTAGTCTGAGCGACCGTTCACTCTAATGACAAATTATTGTTGTTGTGTTGCGTAGTATATCTACCTCCTAAAATCAGTGAGAACGAATATATGTTATGTTTAAATTTATTCGAACGACTGTGTTTAAAATACGAAAAAGTGTTATTGCTAGGCGATTTTAATTTGTATTCTAGTGGAGTTGTTAGAAATTGTTTTGAATTTTTTAAATCTTATTGTGATTTCACTCAAGTTAATAATATTCCGAATTGTAATGGTAGGCAATTGGATCTTGTGTTGTGCTCGTCATACTTGTGGGATAAAGTGTCGGTGAAGGATGCGGACGAGCCGTTGGTGCTGGTGGACCCGTATCACCCGCCACTCTTGATTATGCTGGACTACCCCCGCTATACAAGGATGAGACGGGACGTTTTGCATAACTGGGAAAGTAGGACTTTTGCAGGTAGGAGTAAATTAACTTGGGATTTCTATAAAGCAGATTTTGTTTCATTATAGCACACACTGAGTCTCGTCGATTGGGGTGACGTTTATAATATGCGAAACCCAGAGGACGCCTTCGCAGTAAATATGATATTTTGAATAACATTCTAGATAAGCATGTGCCTAGAAAGTCTAACGCGAAAAATCATAAATGTAGCTATCCCGAGTGGTATACGACCGATATTATTAATGATATAAGGCTTAAGGCTCAGTTACACAAACGCTATAAATTAAGTCGATCGGATACGGATTATAACGCCTTTGCATTTTGTCGAAAGAGAGTTAAGGCTAATCTAAAACAGACGTTCCGGATATACGAACAACGAATTCAAAACGATTTAATTAAAGACCCTAAATCTTTTTGGAAATATATTGGAGCAAAAAAATCGTCTGCACAAAAACAAACAGTTGTAAAAACGGTGTGCAGTTATCGAATTTGGAATGTGCGAAAGAATTTGCGAAATATTTTTATTCTGTGTACAATAACGAACCAGCGAGACTCGGTGTTGACGAAGCGGTGAGGGCGAGCGGTGGCGGTAGTGCTCGTGTTCACGTACCCGAACTGTCGCTAGCCCAAATAAAAGTTGCACTCGTTCGGCTGAAGCCAAAAAGCTCCGTGGGACCAGATGGAATTCCGCCTTTCTTGTTACGCGACTGCAGGTTAGTATTGACCGAGCCATGTCTACATGTTTACAACTTATGCCTTGAATGGTCACACTTCCCGGACGCCTGGAAAACTACTAGAGTTGTACCGATACCTAAAAGCGACGGCGGTAAAACTATCGAATCGTATCGGCTCGAGCTGGTAATATCGCCTTGGCTGTAATTTTAAACTTACCGCATTTATATCATAATGTACTATTATGATTCTGGCCATTTAAACTATTCTTAACTTAAAATAATGTCCATAAAGCTCTTGCGAATAATAATTATTAGGCGAACGGAACTATATGATATTTTTAATTCAGCTTTCAAACTATTGTTGACTGAAACTAATGGCTTGAAAGCTTTATCTTAGGACCTGCCTAGAAATTTTATCAAATTTCGTATGAAAATTTATAATAAATGAATTTTCTTGAACATTAACACTTTCCGGCATTTTTGAGCGATAAACTTTTATGTGTTGTTATCGTGTTAATTCGCTAGTGTTCCTTTGGAGTGTCTCCAAATATCTTTACATTCGGTGTCAAGTGATAAACCAACGAAGTACTAACCGAGTGCCAAGCCATTGTAGTCCGCTTTAATATACTTTCTTGGTATCAATCTCGGTAATTTGTATTTATTGAGGTGAAATTCAATTGTTTGAAAGCGCTGACATATATACGAAAAAGACAATTGGTTTTAAAGTCTTATAAGCTTTTCTCTGCAATGGCCATTGGTGCTGGGTGCTTGGAGTCATACTAATGTATTTCCAGGCTCCCAAAGACTCTAGTGAGATAGTGGTGTGTTTAGTGGTTCTGGTTGACTCTGGCCTTTGTAGGGTACTACCAGCTCTAACGCAGAGGCTATAGAGCGATTTACCATACTCCCCAAATCACAAATTCCCGCCTTGGGCGTGGGAATTTACACCATCACAAAAGTGGTGATTTAAGCTTCAACGTAGATATACAACATCTGCTGCAAATGTTGCGTATCACTAGATTAATTTGATTTAATTTAGTTAACGAAATTTAAATATACTGCCGTGCGTTTTAGTCCTTTACTTATCTAAATACCGACACGATTACAGTACTTTTTAATGTATTGCCATTGAAAAGTAATGCACGAGATCTACGAGTATTAAAATTTTTACCTCAAGTCACTATTCCATGCGGACGAAGTAACACCCAGTTATAAATATACCAACACCATAATTTGCTAAATTTGCTCAAAACTCGAGGCAGGTAGGTGATTGTATTGTACCGCGTACTAGTGAGGCCACGAAAACTACGAAAATCAGCTCAGCGTCAATCAAAACGCGACGTGTTAAGAAATCTCAACTGCAATCGGTGGACCTAGAGACCGTAGAGGACATAGGAATAAGAAAAATATTTCCCAAGAAAAGAAAGAAGAAGAAAGAAGTCTTAAGGTCAGATTCTGCAGATATAATGCGAGGAATAATTGAAATATGCTTGAGATTCAGGCTTTAGAAAAAATAAAGCATCTACATGTTTGACGATTGAAAATTGATACCACAGTGGATCTATCAACTTATGTACAAAAATATGTAGATCGGATAATGATACTAAGATTATTAAACTAAAACATAACTGGGAAAGTAGCACGTCCATAGGTAAAAGTAAATTATCTTGGAATTTCTATAAAGCACATTGTTGTGTTTTGTTTCATTATATCACTCAGTGAGTCTCGTCGATTAGGATGGCGTTTTATAATTTTCGGAACCCGGAAGACGCCCACGCAGTGTTATATGATATTTTGAATAACATTCTAGATAAACCTGTGCCTAGAAAGATAAGTATTATATGTAGTATGATAAGGTATATGATCTAAAAGATATATTTAAATTTTAATTGTTAATCACGTAAGAATTCATATTCTGTAAAGAACAAATAAATATAATTTTCAATTATTAAATATAAAAATCATTATATTCGCTCACAAATTCAATTTAATTATATCGGTCGAAACAAAGCAATCGACCTCCATCAATTTGTGTCAAATACACGAAATTTGTGGTCAAAGGACATTTGTAATTACTCGTTTTAAAGAAAATATTCAATATCGTAAGACTACCTTCGGTTTATGTACCACCAAATTTACGTCACAACTTCTTAGCGATAATTTTCTATGTTTAATAATTAAATACAAATATACTTAATTAAATCCTGTTTGTAGTTTACGCGAGTAGTACACACACACAAATAAAACACTGTAACGGATTAAAACAAGATATATATAAGTTAAACTTATTCGAAAATTATATTAAGTACGGCCCGACGTTACGGATGCTTTGCAGCAGCCGTCTCGCCGTGACGACGGCTTTCTTTTACTACAAGTGGCAATACGGATTGCAGACACATTTTTGCGTCCGGTAAAAATGACTTAAGTACATACATAAGTAGATAGGTAATCAAACTAAGACTAAAATATAATCGCGTTTTTCCGGGGTCATACGTATACGAGACTACAGACATATCATGCTTAACAAACAAAGCTTAACATTTTAAAATACATAAGTCAAGTACACAACATCGTTTGAAAATATTTAAAGATTGAAATAAAACACTTTAACGGTTTAAAATTCGAAAAAACCAGTGGTCACGGGGCGACTGGACGCAGCTGTTGCTAAGCATCCGAAACGTTGGGCCGTAGTGAAAATAATCAAATAAGTTTAACTCATTGCGTTTTAAACCGTTAAAGTGTTTTATTTAAATGGGCACTACTCGCGTAAACAACAAACTATAATTAATTTTTGAAAAACTTTTATTATGTGTTATATGATCTCAGCGTAAGAATCCGAATTTTCATTACATGCTAATCATAAGATGAAAAGACATTTTCACGAACTTTCCTAAATTATGGAAATGAAACGACTTAAGAGTACAGAATGGAATTAATTTTAGCAAAATAATTAGGATCAAATTGGTTTTGTCTCGTTAAACTGACACAAGTTAAGTCTTGTACAGGAATGTTATTATCATATTGAATATTAAATCGCATATTATAGCCTCTTACATAATTCTTTTAATGTTTCAGTAGCTTAGTGGTTTAAGGCTTTGCCCGTTGCGCGATAGGACCTTGAATCTAATCCGAAATTTGTTGGGGTTCACATATTGTGACTCGAGCCACATAACATCTTAATTCACCACTCTTGTAGATATTCGGAATTCTTCCGACTAAAACCGAAAAGCGATTAAACTCCATAAAATTTTCATTGGTAGTTCGAAACCCAATTGAATTACGACAATCCTTCCGCCCATTTTACATTCAGATTAAATCAGATGTTTTAGAAAAAAATATTAGTTGATTATAACTATATTGAAGACGGTGGCGAACCAATCCAAGACCCGTTGAGGAGCTATGAAACAAAGAGGAATGTGGAAAAAAAAGGGAAAATAATTCATCTTTGAGGGATTCCGTTGCCAGCGCTGCGAAAGGAATTCAAGACACGTTAAAAATATGCACGAAATAATGTCTCTTTAATAAAAAATATTCGCCAAAGTATATGTCTATCTTTTCATATTAACTAGCTAGGACGACCAGACGCGGACGGCGTCGTGTCGGAAAGATAAGGAGGAGGTTTGTAACAAAACTTTAATGCCCAAAAAACTGATTGTACGCGGACGATGTCAGTATAAAATAGTTAGTCGGGCAGGCTTGAAAAATATGATATTCGTTCAAATCACTCGGATTGAAAAAAACATTAATCGTTCATCAAGCGGTAATTTCAAAGCGTTACGAACCGATGGCCACTTATTGAAATTCCCTAATTGAAAATGTAAAATTAATTCAGCGAAAAAGGTCTATACAAACGCAATAAAGCTGTGTGAATTAGACGGGGACCAGTGAACTTCGGCACTTTATTTACGACGCCGAGTTTTACTGCGCAGTAAAAATTTTCACTCATTTCCCGCCAATTAGGAGCTTAGGAAATCTGGTGGCTGTGTGTTTACTTCGTGTCACAACAAACTTTAAATTTATTTAATAGTCTGTAGTAGTTAAATATTGATTTTATATCAAAAATAAGTCCCACACTGGCGGGAGTTGAACCTGCATCGTTCCGTGCGTTTGCTCTAACCAATTGAGCCGTGATGGAAGTTCAATTTTGTCCAACTATTGATGCCGGTTAAGTCCCGCCCGTCTCATATTTTTTTAAATTCTAAAATCGATTTTTAATTTATATAAAAACATCATATTGTGCAATATGAGAAAATTATTAAAGTTTTTAAAAGTCTATACTAATATTTAACGGTACTTTATTCTAAAACTGTCTATAGTACTTCAGTTACCGGTATGTGTTTGAATGTATACACATTCAAATATAACAATTGTAAACGGTTTCAATCACCAAATTTATTAGTTAAATCAGTTATTTTTTTAACTACGACTCGATGTTCCGGATGCTTTGCAGCAGCCAGTTAAAGTCAAAACTGAATTTTATATAAATGATTTTTATTTCTACTATTTATGCTGTCTATAGTTTACGCGAGTAGTACACATTTAAATAAAACACTTTAACGGTTTAAAACGCGATATATTAGTTAAACTTATTTGAAAATGATTTTTAACTTCGGCCCGACGTTTCTCTGACGTCTCTGACGTCACGTCAGAACATCCTCCATCTTTAGTCACCCCGTGACCACGGCTGCTGCAAAGCATCCGAAACGTCGGGCCAAAGTTAAAAAATTTTCAAATAAGTTTAAAATTTTACACCGTAAAGTGTTTTATTTAAATACTATTTATGCTGTTATCCCTATAAATAGATGATATTTCCCTGCATATAAGTAAATAATTCTTCTTACAGAGATCTGCTTTATCGTTTTCTTCTATCGTCTTTACCTCTGCAGTAATTGACCTATTTGCTTCACCTCAGACCATAAAGAACCCTAAATTCAATAGGTGATGATTTAGAAGGGTTAAGTAGCTATGAAAGTGACAGGTTTATTGTGATGATATAATCGAAGATTTATTGCTCTCGAAGTTTAACAGCAGTGAGTTGAGGCTGTGACCAGAAACTTTGGTAAATTATATACCTTACTTATTAACTTCTTATTGTTATAAACTCAAACCAAAATTCATTCATTTATTCATGTGGATAGCTATATACACTTTGTAATAATGCTATTATAAAGTAAATCTATATTTCTGACCGGTTTTTAATTATTAAATTTATTAATAACGGATATTCAGAAAAGCAAGCAAAAACATTCAGAGGTGGCAAGATTTCTTGAAGGAATAGTTGGGGTGCGTAGGGAAAGAAGTGCAAAAGACAGACGTTTCAACTGAGTGTTAAGAAACTTTGACCCAACGTTAATGATCTCTAATTAATATAAACAAATTGGGTAGGGTAATAAAATAGCTTTTTTTCGCGCCACATTACTTGTATTTAATTTTCGAATAAAACCTTTATACTTAGAATTCTTGCGAAGCAAACGTTAGAAATTGCACGATTCTTGACGTCACAGCGCTTTTATTTCTTAAAAAAAAAAGGAAGCAACTAAGCCACGAAAGAAATATATCCTCGAAACGACCTTTTTGACCCCGAAAAGGATTCATTCTAATTCTCCGAATCTAACCTCGAGCCATTCAATAAGTTTTTCGTCCCAAAATCGTCGGACTGAGTATTTGCATTACAATTTGGATAAAGTTTCGCCTCTACTGTGTGGCTTGTGTGGACGTGGGACTAAACGAATGATTAGTTGGGTGGAATACATCAAAACTTTATTTCTGAATATTTCATGTACCTAGTTTAGAGTTCGCGCTTAATTTTTCTTTGATATTTAGCGTTGCTTAGCAAAAGTAAGAATTATGCAAACTTAATTTACACACAAACAAATATTTAATGAGTACAAGAGTACTCAGATTTTTTATTAAGTTTATAAAACGTACACTGTCTATCAACATATATATGTCTGTCATAAAGTTTTCAACGCAGGATCGTAGTTGAAAATTAATAAACAAATATAGGTCACAATTTAAACAGTTTAATTCATTTACTAATTGCATCCCGCAAGCCATTACAGTAATACTGATATTTTGCAAACTAAGACTCTGTTACTCTCTATTAGATTATCTATAACAATTTTTGTACTTTACGACTTTGTATGCGTTATTCAAGAATTGTAATTATAATATCTATTATTTATTTGTTTATTAAAGTATTCCTTACATCTAATTTAAGATATAATACATAGTTTCTTTTATAGAAATTTGTATATAGTGTAGTGTGGGCTGTGACAAAAGACGACAGAAGTAGACGCACTTGTGTGAGTGTATAAGAACGTAACTTATCGTCAATGCAGAGTTTAAAAGTCTTTAATTAAATTACATAATAAGCTGTTTAGCAGCGTTGTGAATTTTTAAAATAATTAGAAAGACACTTTAATGGTTTAAACGCAATATGTTTTAGTTGAAAGTTTCGGATGCTTTGCAGCAGCCGTGGTCACGGGGGGGGCAAACAAGTTTAAGT